AAAGGTTTTAGTATCTGCTATGTATATGCACAGCACAGTGCGTGGGTCTGCCAAACCTGCCAAAGGCGGTCTTTCGGGTCCACCCTGTGAAGAAGCTTTCCATATAATCACGAGGTTCTTTGTAGGGGAGGAGAAAGCAAAGACTAACTTGATGTAAATAAATGCAATGTCTGCTGGTCTTAGATTTGGGAAACTTGTTAAAAAGTTAAAAGCTGTAATAAACACTTACTATCTCTCTGGATTTCCCTTCCTCCTTTTCCCTTTCCTTTCCTCAAAGAGGGGAAAAGAAATGAAATTCCTTTGAATGTGGCTCTATGAAAGGAGCTTCGCAACAAGCTGATGGGAAGAAGACAGTTGTTGTAGAATTTATCTGACAGCCTACAGTAAATCTGAATTAATTGCCCTCCATCACTTTATTGACTAGAGGTCCAGTCAATATAGTTAGTGAGTCTAGGACAGGAATTGGCTCATTCTAAAATGGGCATGTAATAGAGGTCAGGGGAATCATGTGTCTGTAAGTACTTTTTTTTTTCCTTCATTTAGTTAATTACAGCACACCCTCAAAGTCAGATTCACAGCAGAATAATAAGGTTTCCTTGTGAGTCACACCATCTTCCCACAAATACTATTCATATCTAAGGATGGTTTCTTCTCTGGAGCAGGTAAATCCTGCAGCAGCACAGGAGACAGACCGAGGAAGCCCCCTGCAAAAAAACCTTCCCTCGTCTCGCTTGTGCCGGTGTGTGCTCCCACGAATAAACCAGAGGGTGCGGTTGTACTTGGCAACCTGCTTTATAGCTAACCTTTGGAAACCACTCATTTCTCAGGGCTTCCTTCTTCCAGAAGTGCTATAATGAGAGTGGAGGTCTGCTCGAAGCCCTCTATAACTTGCTTCTCCTAATAACCGATGGACTCTAAGGTTAAACCTGCCAACTACAAAACTAGACGCTCAAATTCCTGACACATAACTTTACTAAAGGAAATAAATGTTAGCCCTCAGAAAACACATCAGACCTCCCTCAGGTTAGTGAATATTATGAACAGTGACAATCCCTACCCTTAAACACTCAGTAACACCCTCATCGTGCTCTCTAATAGAGCAAAGCCATTAAGTTGTCCCCATTGTAATTTAGATCACAGAAGAGACTTCCACAGATTCTTTCAGGTTAAAATAACTGGTATACAGAGAGTAGGCAAAATTATTCCACTGTAGCTACGTGCTTAATTATATGGAATACTGCATAAATTGTCAAGTGCAAAGAATTATTCTGATAAATTAAAATCCTAATTAAATAGGCTATTGCAGAATTTTGAGAACATTATAGGGCTCCGCTTCTTCAGGTAATTTGCATATCCTTCATCTAGTGAATTTAATTTAAAGGCCTCCTTTTTTGTGTGTTTGGAAGCCCTTTTTGTTTCAGTGGAAGATTAAAAAAGGGATTTATATGTTGCTAACTGGGTTGGGGTTTGGGGTTTTTTTGCCTTTTTTTGAATAGCTGTTTTTATTACACCTCTGCTGATGAGTTTGTCAGTTCTCCATTAGTATTTCAGGATTTAAAACTGTGGCCATAAAAAAATCAACTTTGATGGAATGTGCAATATAACATGTTACCCAGAATTATCATTTCCAGTTCATAAAATTTGCAGGAGAAACATCATCTGCTGTATATTTGTACTGGAATAAAAGTTAGCAGGTAGTACACTAAAATACTTTAACAAAACTTAGGGCAATTTTCAAAGGATTAGTAGCTTGTTCTTAATAGAATCATAGAATCATTTAGGTTGGAAAAGACCTTCAAGATCATCGAGTCCAACCATCATCCATGCCCACTAAACCATGTTCTGAAGTGCCTTGTCTACGCGCTTTTTGAACACCTGCAGGGATGGTGACTCAACCACTTCCCTGGGCAGCCTGTTCCAATGCCTGACAACCCTTTCAGTAAAGAAATTTTTCCTAATATCCAATCTAAACCTCCCCTGCTACAACTTGAGGCCATGTCCTCTCATCCTATCTCCAGCCACCTGACAGAAGAGACCAGCACCCACCTCACTAGAACCCCCTTTCAGGTAGTTGTAGAGAGCGATGAGGTCTCTCCTCAGCCTCCTCTTCTCCAGGCTAAACAGCTCCCTCAGCCACTCCTCATAAGACTTAATATCTGAATTTATGTTCCCACCATTTCTTCCTCATCTATCTATAGGCTACTGACTATGTTTTATGGTCTTAAGTTCTCAATTATAGTTATGCATAGAAAAGTTAAGTAGTCATATTCACTGTTGAGCAGCTTGAAGCAGCTGCTTGATATGTAGTTGATGCTTCAGCTTCAGCTTCAGCACCACCGTTTTTGGCAGAATTTCTTGACCTTCCTGAACTGCTTGTGGAGTTCAAGGTTAGCTAAAATATGCTCCTGAACATGCCAGAGACTGTCTGCTGTGTCTCTCCCTGCAACCTGACGGTGCCTTAGCTTGACCATTTTCAGGTTATGATTTAATCAATAACACGTCATGCCTTCATGCCTCCTAATTTTGGCAGGGTTTATTTTAGCGTGGCTGTCAGAGCTGTCCTTTGTGTTTTAGCCAATATCAAGGGGGAAGAGGGGCGTTAAGTAAACTTTTTTTTGTTTTTTTAATATCAAAGCTTCAATAATTAAAGTCTGCAGGAAACCTATAAAAAGGAGGTCAAATATGTAATAGTAATTATAAAATTCAGTGATTCAGCAGACCCGATATTTTCTATTAACTGTTCATGTGGTAGGAAACTGCACGCTGGGATGTTAGCCTTGTTGTTTACTTATACTCATTTATTTTGCAGCCACTCTGCTGTGCATTTTTCTTTATCCTAAGCTACCAAAGAATCGTTTGTTGGACCATTCAATTTCTTTGAAGGAGGCTGTGGAGCTTTCTGTGTTTATAAATCTTCTAAAGTTTTGTATTTGGTAGAAAACTGCCTTTAACGTGTATGCTGGGTGTGAGGCAGCCGGCATGGTAGCATGGCACACCTTTGCAACAAAATGGCTCATCTGAAAGGGAGAATGTTGTTATCTGACATGGCAGGTCATCAGCCACCAGTGAAGCAACATAGCCCAGAGTCTATCTCAAGGCTGAAAATCAAGCTTGTTAGCAAAGATTTACTTATTTTGGGGGAATTCATACCACACAACCTATACAACACAGTGAAAATGTAGCCTCAAATCACGTGGTCCAGGCAAATCTCCTTCTCGTGTGGTCCCTGTGGCTCCGGGTGGAATAAATAAGTTTGTGAATGTGTAAAGCACGGCATAAATATTAAGTATGTGAGCATTGTATGCGGTTTTTAGGCTGCCATCCAGAAAAACCTTTAAGCTTTCTTAGCTTGGGACTCCATGTTCCTATCTGCTTAATCAGTAGCATATTAAAAAGAAGCAAAAATAAAGCTGTGTGGGTCTAAAAGGCGGACAGAGCTTTCCTCTCCATTTAAATCACAGGCAATATTCATCCCTTGCTGAAGGCAGTCAGAAAAGTTTGTCTGTATTAGAATTCCTTGAGGTTTCACTTCTTGAGTCTTTGCACGTACAAACTCTTACCAAAAGCTTTCCACATTTTGGATATATGAGATGAGATTGAGCCCTAATGATAAGACTTGCCTCTGAAATAAATGTGAGTCATTTGTGTTGCACTTTGGACAAACTAAATAAAGTATCAGTTCACAATAATATTGCTTCTGAGAATTGTCCGCTGCGATCTGAACTGTTTTGAATATGTTTCGAGCGCTAACAATTGAGGAGTATTTTTCACAAATGAAAGAAAAATATATTAATTCCTTTCAGTATTTTTCTGTAAATTTGCAGTGTACAGTATGTTCTAGCATACTTCTTGTCCTTTCTGGTAGGAATGTTTCCTTTAGGCAACTTAAATTGAGAAGCCAAGTCTATCCAAACTGGGTCCGTAATCAAAGGAAAGAGATAGGTGCCTGCAGATGTGTGTAAGTTATGTGGCATGACTCATCGCATTAAATGTCCATCCCTTTCCATTGACTGCAGAGAGAACGTAGATGACTCACTTGGATTACATAGTCAATGACTAGACGGCTAAATGGAGGAGAGTTTAACAAGGCTGCAAGGCTTCATTTCTACTCATAAATAAATCAAGCCAGGTGCCTGGGTTTTGGCCATGAGCCCAACTGACGCAGTTTGCATCCAGAAGGTTAAAGTCTTCCCATGCAAAATGGGATGACCTTACCCATACCCCCAGCTGGGAATAATCTCATCCTTGTGCTGTCCCCAGAACGGTGGTTGGGCATTGTTTTGTGAGAACACTAGTGGGCAAAGGTCAAAGTCATGTGAAGACCATAGTAATGGTTTAGAAATATGGGTAATGGTAAGACAGTGCTCAAGTTCATGCCCTGGGCATGCTTGGGTTGCAAGTATAGATGTAGTCTTAGTTATTACTAGCTCTATTTTGCATTTAGCTGTTTTATGCTGCATTACTTTGTTTTTGTTTTGAATGCTTTTACTGATACGGAAGACGATAAATAGGAGAAAACTAAATTTCAAAAAAAGAAAACATTGTGCATTGCATCCCTATGTTGTGAAATAAACTATTTATCTTACCTGCTAGGTAATAGTCTGTATTTGTTGTGAAATGTCTTACACAGTGACAGTGCTGTTGTAATGGTAAGGTGCTGCTCTGCTCTTCGCTGCAAGGAAGACAGTGGAAAATTTCCACTGAAGAGAACTTTCCAAACACGTTGTGTATATGTGTTAAATGTTTGTGATAGTTTGTATACAAGGGGACTAGTTTGGCTTTCTTTTTCACATAATAATGAACAATTAATGACATACCTATGCATTCAAAAAACTGACCAGCAGAGTTGCTGTCAGGGTAAGATACTCCATAGATGGCATAGGTAGGAACTATCATGAATTTATTGATGGAGGAAAGAAGGTTGCTTATGTTGTACATGCTGCAAATTCATGCATATTCCAGCTTTCCCGTAACTCTTTCAATCTTAATTTTCCTTACAGCTATAAACAAAGAGAAGCTTGAAAAAACAACTGGACTGAAAATTCTGCAGACTGGAGTGGGGGAGGTAAGTGGCTTGGGGGCATTTTACACTCTCAAAAAGATTTTAATTTGGGGTGTTTTTTAAGAAATCCTGGAGCTCATGAACGTTTGTGAGCTACCAGTCTGATAGTGCTAAGGGCCTTTTTATGATACAGTTGCATCTGTCAAAATACAATCTGCTGCACAAATAGCACTGTATCCCACAGAGAAAAAAATACCATCCTTATGAGAAAAGTGCAGCCGGCTTTAAGAAATGCAGTTTTTTGCTTTGTTGTATCACAGGAACAAAATCCCCAAAGATGAGTACAGCAACTGAAGTCGTCGTATTATTCCCCTTGGTTTTGATGGAGTGCTATCTCATCTAGATCAATGAAAGTTTAAATTTGGGGTAAAGAGTCTTCAGATGTTAGAGAGAATCTAACAGTGAATGACTTGCTTATTTTGGATGTAACTTGAAACATAAATAAAACATGTGTCTGTTATACTGGTGATATCACTAAGCAAAAACTCCACTAAGCAGTTCATCATTTATTAATAAAGATGATGCTATCTGCTAAGAACCTTGTATGAACTACAGTTGATTGCTAATTCTCGTGCTAATTTTGTGTACACAGTTATCTTTTTTCTCCTTTTTCATTTAAGTAATTTTGCTAGTGGTGAATGCTCACAGGGCTAGACAAATGCCTTTTTCTTGTGATTACATTATTCTCAGTATTAAGAATAATGAATTACTAACTTGTAATATACTGAAGGAATTCACTTTTTTTTTCTTTTTTTACTGATTATCATTTTTTGATATTGCTAATTTTTATCAGTTCACACCTAAGAACTTAACTTGCTGGGATTTCTGAGGTTCTTTGTGTAACTTTATTCACATTATTAAGAGACTTGGTTCTGAAGAGGTACCAACACTGAGACCTGCTGAGATGCTCAGGGTCAAAGCTGTAAGAATTAGAACTTGGAAACAAACATAGGTGAAATCATCAGAAAATGAAAGCCAGTGTCTCTCCTTAACTGGAGCTGATTTAACTGGTTGAGGTTCTCAAGGGTGCATAACCTCAAGAGCTGGGAAGTGTATCCTGGAGCATGGCTGTGCACTTCAGGCTGTGTCCTGACTTCCAGCCAGAGTGAAGCTTGTGTTTGCACTATCCGCAAGCCCTGTTTTCTGCTAAATAACAGGAGAACCAGGACTGTGGCACAGACTATGGAAGCCACATTCAGTAGAATTTTACCCAACGGGAGCCCTTATGCAATGAAATACTTCCATGTATTTTGTCCAATTCCAGTCATTGAATGGATTCCGGTTGACTTCAAAGTCAGCTGGAAAACGAAAGCTCACTTCACTTCAGATACTTACTGTTAAATGAATTGTTATCTTATATGTCATCGATGGAGAAAGAAAGCACTTTCAGATATTTGAAATGCAAGAAGTTGTCACCTGTTAAATGCATCATTAATCCACATTGGAGTAATAGGATTGTTGTAACCATGGTAGTCTAAGGATGTCCTGGAGATACAGCCTTGAGGGTATCCTAGCTTTTTTTAAGACCAGCTGGTCTTAAAATTTCCAGTTCTAAAAATAGAACTGGAAAAACGGACAAGTTCTTAGGCTAGAAATTGCCCCAGTTTGTTTCTTGTGCTTGGTTTAGTAAAAGTCACTGCAGAGCTCGCTTCCCATATATTTAGGCTATCATAGCTTTTAAAAAAACTGGTGATACTACTTGGATTAATAAAGATTTTGACAGAAGGTTGTGCTTTACACTCTGCCAAATATGTATTTTTAAAAGGCAAAAAGTGAAAATGAATTAACTGAAGGGAAGCAGACATTTCAGCCTAAATAAATTCCAGGTTACATCTGAGATATGGTGATCAGCAGCGAAAAAACCAAGTGGTTTGGAACATTAAGGTGATGGAAGAACATCTATTCAGCTGCTTATATATTTTGTTGGATGTGAATTCTCCCAGCTGTGTACATTCCCCTTTCTAAGTCTTATCAGATATGATAGTGTACATAATGAATACACTTCTGCAGTCTCACCTACAAGAAAAATAATGGAGTGCTGTAACCAAGCTGTTTCTTTGTTGAGAGGGTATCAGATTCGGGCTATTTCAGGTTAAATCTAACTATGTTAATCCAGTTTTGCTGTTTGTTTTTGATTCACCCTGGTGTTTAACAGTGTTAAAATAATAGAAAGTACGTATTTTAACATAGTGAAGAAGCCTTTTGTTGAATAAGGATTTCTTTTTCTTCACACTGAAGGAATGGAATTATATGTAATGCTAACTGTAAACCAAAGTTAAGATGCTCAAATCAAAAGTACTTAGAAAAAACTCTTTAGTTTCAGAATGAGAAATGACATTTTTGTTTGGACAGTAGGTCAGATTCATGACAAAGTTAATGAATATATAATCTTCACTTGCAGGACTGTAAAATAAAAAGGATTGATTTTGCATGGCAAGTTTCATAGCTGAGATAGCTCAAGAGAAATATAGCTGAGATACTAGTGGCAAATGGAGCAGCTGTATAAACAAATGCAGGAACTGTTCTAAGCTCACCAATAATTCATGTGTTGCTCTGGACAGTGGAATCTCTTTTAGGCATTGATCTATGATAACAGGATTTGTGCCTCAGAAAGAAATGTGTAGACACCAGTGACTACCCAGGCCTTGGGTGCAGTAGAAGGAAACCGTCTCTTTCTCTGTGGAGAGGAGAAATGCTTTTCGGAGCTCCTCAATCTCTCACTTTCTCTCTCTATCTCAAGAAAAGCATTTCGAAAGCAACAACAGATTATAAAATTCACACCAAGCTTACTGAGCCCTTCAGTCAAGTCCGGGGAGGGCTGATAAATTGCTTTTATGTCACTGCATAAACATGTGCTATGTAGTCATTAACAACACGGGTCTGGAGTCTACCACAGCTACAATACACTTCATCATCTTTATGTCATGTGAAAGATTTCCACAGCTTCAGTGAGTTTTTTGGATAGAGCTGAGGTTAGCTGCATTGTGTCAATGTGGGATAGGCTTTGCTTTGGCAGGATTAAAAATGAGTTCCTAAACTGCAATGTCAGAAGCTGCTCATGTGTCACGATGTTGATTTTAAAGTTCTATACGTTTCATGGGAAGGTTTAGATAATATAATGCAAAGCATTGTCTGGACTGTGGGTAAGCAGAGCTTCTTTCAGGTCACTGTGGAACAGACCCTTACTTGTACTCCCAAAGCGTATCTACCTCAACATCTAACATTTGCCAGCAGAATATTCAACAGTCCAGGGATCCAGAGAGCTGGATTGAGTTTGATGTGCTGTGTATCACTCTTAAAGTGCTAATTATTTTGGCACCTATCTTGTTTGTGAGAAGGCTGTTGTACTAGAAAACTAGGAATAACTCTGCTGTAGAGAAAACCGGTGCCGACATTGAAATCGTGAGGATGTGTGCATTGCTGTAGTACTGACTACCTCTGGAATTATATTCCCTAACATGTTTATTTTCTGTTTGGAGTTTTCCAGCACCTATAACAGCTCTAAAGCTCCTATACAGTAGCCCTCCCAGATTTATTTGGCTCATTGTCATGCATGATGTTTGCACCACACAAATTCGTCATGAGCTTTTCACACCTTCTTGGTTATTCAGATACAACGAAGCTGCTGTTGTCTTTGAGGTATTTTCTTTTGATCTCCCACACATGAAATAAATCTCTGAAGTCCTAAGGTCATCTTCAGAAGTTCAAGAACCTCCTATAGTTGAGTGTATGTGAGGGTATGAATGTAAGTGTTGTGTTATCTATGTGTATATTTGCATAATACCATAAGAGGCATAGTACTGGTAAAAAAACTGAAGAGCTGAACAGCATTTAAGCAGGACCTGCAACTCCATTCTCCTATCTCCCAACTCGATGTGAGCAATTGCATTCTGCAGAAATAAGAGTTGAATTTGTTGCTCTGCTTGGCTGAGCACCCCTGCGAGATCTGGGGGACAGCATTTGGTCTCACATGGAGGCAAAGCCTCCTTAGCAGCAGCACGGCTCCACCTGACTCCTGCCGAGTTCAGGACTGAGCGGGGTCGGGAGCCCCAGTCCCACGCAAAAGTTAGTCCAACTGGACTTCTACCCAGGAGCTGGTCTCCAGCCCAAGGGAGCTCAGCAGGCACCATGAACCGCAGCCCTGCATGGAGGTCACCGAGTAACCTGGAATTCCTTCCACATCCTTTAGGAACTTAACCACTTCTTTCTCTGCACATAAACACTTTTGAATTATTATAAATGCACAGTATTTTTCAGTTCAATTCCATGCTGAGCTTGGCTGTGACTGGAGTTGGTCTGGTGCAAGTCTAGCGCTAGTTTAAGAGAACTTCAAATAATGGTTCAAATGCAGATACTATGGCATGGAAAAATAACTGTTTATCCAGTTTTTGGTTCAAATTTGTTTTCAACAACAATTTCAGAATAACAGGTCAGGCTCTCAGTGACTCAGGAAAGTGTTATGATTCAGATCAGGTTTTGGAGGCTAAGAGTCTGTGATTTGAACAATAAGTTATCTGAATCGAGGCCTGAAACAAACTGAGGGAATGGCACTGTTTCTGTCTTGAACTGGTAAAACAGCACCCACTGTGGGATACACTATTTTAAATTAACTCTTTCAGTTTCCCAGTAGGGCTACACAAAATACACTCATCACTGGAACTGTAACTTTGTAGGATCTGAATCGTGATTCTCATAGGGCAACCATAAGAATTAGAATAGTTTTCTAAACCAAATGGAAATAACCCAAAATATATGCAAAATGAACACTTTGCCATACCTCTAGATGTTCTAAAATAGCACAGTGATATTTTGACATGTTTCAGGATATTCTCATTTATAGATATTTTGATAGGTGTAGAATTATGTTGATGTTGCATAAAGTGATGTTACTACAATAAAGAAATCTGCATTTGAAAATTCTAGTGAAGCTAGAGGACATGATAAGACAGACTTTCCAGTGATGTGCAAGCCTCTTTGAGGCAGGAGTCAGATTTCTAACTTGT